ATATCGTCAATGTTCGTGTGAACTTCGATTCAGGCCGAGCGCACGAAATTTTCAAACTTGTCAACTGTTTTTCACAACGGAATTTTTCTTGAGGGCAAGTGAGAAAAGTAGATCGAGAAAAGACCGATCTCAAGTGGGACGGTTCTGGAAATATTGAAGGCAATATGTCGGCTAGCTAGGAAATAGTGTACGTGGTTACAAAATTATTCAAAGTGTTTTGATAATTTTCACTCATTGTGGATATACCGTCACTATTTCAATTATAAATTTACCACTTATCGTGTTGGCCCATTTGTGTGGCTTTAGTGGTGAAATTATCCTTCAAGTAAGGGATTTTTGCGAACCGACATGTGCTTCAGTCGAACCTCACTCCTCTGTTCGACATTGTGAATTGCCCTCAACCATCTAAAGAGGTATAAAGTGTTTAATAATTCGGTGAGTCTGACTGCATGATGATGTAAATTACATTTATAGGGTCCTTGTACCAGCTACAAGCGTCGCTAATCTTGATTACCGGCAAACGTAACCAGTGACGTCACTACGAGACGACGTCATCACCATTCCGTAATCGATGTGCCTGTAGGAACGCTTACCTCTGTTCTATGCTTCCAACTCTTGCATGTGTTTGCCTGATAATGCTAATGCTAGATGAGATAATGCTAGTTTGCTAGATTGCTGCTGTCAAATTGCATTGTGTCCTGCTAAAACCGTCTGCTGATCCAGGAAACCGGACTCGTAATCAGATAAGCTGCATGTTTTTTTTTTGCGATTTCTATTTTCCTGAACTGCTTATATAACTATGATTTTCTGCATTCTCGATATAGTGCTGAAGATGTTTATGTTCAATATCTAGCGCATGTCATAACGGCTTGTGTATAATACTGCGGTACCTAAATAGTATATTTCACTCTTGGTGATGATTTATGGATATATAATATGTAAAAATTAGTTTTTTTTTCATCATTATTGATATTTAATTTTTTTTATATCAGTGTACAGTGTACACTCAAGCGTGATCACGTTGGGGTTTCACACTTTCATATAGGTAATAATAATAATAATAGTGTATGGTTCTACATATTATATAATATCTGTTCAAATGGAAACCATCTTCTATTTGGTAATACCTGTTATTGATCTCCGAATTTTTTAATAAATCACATTTTGGGGAAAAAATCTGCAGCACAATATTGTGTTAGTTCATTCATAACTCTCTCTATGTAGTTCATCTACCCAAGCAGCATATATACAGCGTATATGTACTGATTAGTCCTGGTTAAGACTTCATTTTTGGAAATCGATGGTGAGTAATATTATTTGTAGTATACATTTATTTCATACATAGGTTCGGCAAACAAAAGTTTCAGCTATTCTTCATTATTGTTTTATGTATTGTTTTCTGGGAAATGGTACCTAGAAGAACTAGGAAGTTTTCCAACTTTAACTCGCTCAATTCATAAGTTGGTGGCGTCCTTTTATTTCAATAATTTTATATATATGGTATACCGTGTGTTCTGGTTTGAACCCCCCTATACCCGACTGAGTTTCCAGGCATTTGCTCGTGCTTGTTTCGCGACCGTTTTCCAGACATTACATCATTTATATTTTTTTTTTTTTATTACAAACCTACATAGGCACGTGGCAATTTACGGTAAAGAATACATAAACATTTGAAAACAAGTAAATAAAAACAATATTTGGAGCAGTGAGCTCTATCACAATATAGTTGAAAAACAAAAATAAAAAACATATAACAAAATAATGCGTCAATGACCACTATAGCAAACTAAAACACAACAGAAATGTAGAAATAGACTGAAATAAAATAAATGAGGATATAAAATAAAATAAATCTATATATAAAATTGAATAAATCTAGACTCGAATCTAGATATAAAATGAAATATATTGTTAGGAATCTCGATAAAATTCGGTCAAACTATAATAAGCCTTCACAATTAGAAACTTTCTGACTTGTTTTCTGAACTCGAGTTCATTGTCAATTTCCCGTAGGTACAAAGGCAGATAACTAAACATTTTCTTGCTCCTATAAATCAAGGAGTTCCTAGTCAGAGCCGATGTGGAATGGGAAGTTTGATACAATTTGAAGAGCTGCGGGTTTTATGTGTAGGTGTTACAAATCTAAAATCTTTATATTTCTCCTGGACTATAAGCACACAGTTTCTAAAATGAAGATGCAAGCCAATGTCAATATTCCATGGACTAGAAACAATGATCTGCATGAATCCCTCACCCCAGCTTTACACATATATCTCAATGCTCTCTTTTGTAAAACGAAAATGAATTTGGATAAATGGTCAGTACATGTCCCCAAGAAACAAATGCCGTGACGCAAATGTGATTCGATGAGTGAATAGTAAACATTTTTGACCGCAATTAATCCCAATTCATTTGGAGTAATCATCACAGCATATAGCAGCCAGATGCCATCTTTTTACTTAGAAGTAGTATGTGCCTTTCAAATTTCAATTTGGCGTCAATGTTCAACCCTAAAAACTTGAAACTGAGAAATTCTTCGTATGCCAAAGAATAGTCGTATCATCAGCAAATACGGTGAGTTGTTCCTGAATATCGATTTGCATCAAGTCATTCACATATAATCAAAATAACAGGGGACCAAGTACAGAGCCTTGCGGAACTCCATATTTCACAGCTAATAGCTTTGAGGATTCGTTATGAAGAATGCAAGAGACTAGTCAGTTAAGAACGATTGTAACCAAAGCAAAGGTATACCTCTAAACCCATATGTATGCAGTCAACCCAGCAGTATTCTATGATTCACACAGTCGAAGGCCTTCGATAGATCACAAAATACTGCTGCAGCTACTTCACCATCATTCATTCTGAGGTACAGCCTTTCGAGAAATGCAAAAATTGCATCATTCTTATTCTTAGTGACTTGAAAGACATACTGGTCAGGACTTAGAATTCTATGTTTGCTTATAAAAGCCATGCACCCTTTGTTTCTTGACTAATCTCTCTATAACTTTAGATAATGCCGGTAGCAAAGCAATCGGTCTGAAGTTAGTATAGGGGAATTGAGTTCAGCACCTTTGAAAAATAATTCTCTTTATCTCGGAATGAATGTGGTTGAGTGATGAAATATACCGGAAATCCTCTTGCAAAGAGCCAAGCGGGTACTCTTAAGTTGACACATGAGGTAGAAGCAATCTCTGAGTTGCGACATTTGGTGGAGGATCATCTGAGTTGCGCCAAATGGTGGAGCCGCCGTTTGTTCTCAATGACGCCAAATAATCTACCAGAATCATCTGAGTTGCGATAATATGATTTCATAAAAAATGGACTCTTTATTTTTCAATAAAAACGCACATGCCTATCGATAATGATGTTTGTTTCTGAAAAACTGATCATGTTGATGATTGTTTGTATCAGTCCAAATTTGGTAAGAATAGCACAACTAATAGCAGAGATATAGGCCAACGTTTATACCGTATGGATAGTTGGTATGCTTACCAAGGAGATATAACTAAATTCAGACCAAATGCCTTAGTAAACCATGTATCTTCAGTTGACTAACGTTACCAACTTTGTTTTGATTTGATTATTTTTTTGAGGTTAGGTTATGGAACTCCACTTGAATTCGCAAACTAAGAATAAAACCTTTTAGTAGGATATGAAATTAGCTGTAATTGAATGAAATATTATTATGAGAACTCATGAAATAACTGACACTTGCGCTCAAGTCAAGCCAAGGCAATACAAAAGTAAACCGTTATGTCTACACCATCTTGGTCATCATACTATTTTAGTCTGGTATGCAACACATTTCGGTACCAAACCAAGCTGGTAACTTCACCAAGTATACAGTTTATACCAAACTGACCAAGAATATTTAGTCAAAATATAGTAATTAGTCAGCTCACCAAGACACGGATAAACGTGGCCATAGAAGGGAGGGGGGCGTTTGAAGTGAGACAAGCTGTATATACTCAGAACTCAGTAGCTCTTATCAAAAGTTTTCCCTCGTTACGGACTCACTCAATCACTCTTGATGGTGAATCTTCAGGAACCCTACTTGTAGAATTTGAGGTACCTCAAGGATCCATCCTTGGGCCATTACTGTTTTCTTTATATATTTGTGACTTCCATGAGACAATTTAGCACTGTTATATTCATCACTATGCCGACGATACCCAACTCTATATCAGCTTTGACATTAACAACGCCCTCTCAACATCTGAACAAGTTAATGATGATCTGACTTATCTTTTCGATATTTCCACTGCTCATAACCTCAATATAAATCCGCGCAAGTCCCATGCTATGCTACTCGGCAATAAATCTGAATGTTCACTGGCTGAGGGGAACTTTTCATTTAACCTTTCCAATGAAAAACTACCATTTGTTGATGAATGCAAAAATTTGGGCTCATTCAACGTGTTGAGACAATTATACCCTTCTAAGGACATTTTGCCCACCTCGAAACTCAAACTGATTCTCTGCCAATCCTTGATTATCTCTAAGCACTCATATTGTGACGCGGTCTATACGGCCCTGCATACTCTTGCGGAATTATGCCTACTCAATAGTTGTAAAACCGCATCAGCTGACACTTCGCCTCTTCATCTGTGTGATACAATAATTATTATTAAGGTAGTGGAGGCATATATGGCCAGAGAGATTATATGGCCCGCATGAATATTTCAAGTAATTTGAAGAAAAATAAACAGTTTGGCATCGCTGCTGTGTTTAGGTAGCTTGGTACCACTACCCTCAAAGACCGCATCGTGCACTCCAGTTCGGAAGACTAACTAATTCAGTTTGATGTAGACCGTGGAGCGATAATATTGTCATTAGTTAATTTTCGAACAAGAAGTTCACATAGCACACATCTCTGCGTGCGTACTCCACCACAAGATAAGTAAACCATCATACCTGATGTTCCTATGAAATTATTTGTCTAGTTCAAGTAGTTGATTAAGGATAAATATGTTTTTTGTAACTACACGTCGGGTAATATGGCCCTCGGTTTGAGAGACCCATATGGCCCGGGCCATAAAACCTGCTTCTGGCTATATAACCCGCTATTCACCATAAAAACACCGCATATGCTCCTTCCTTGGTCACCTACACCTGTGAATCACTCAGAGAATCAGATACCAGATTTCGACTCAGAAGATGAAATTCCTCTTGCCCAACTAGTCGCAAAAGTTGAAGACATCAACAATGATGCTGCTAATCAGTCATTTCACGAGTTATTGCCCACACCAAATTATAAGAAGAAGCCAGCAGTTGTAAGAAGAAAAGCTTTGAATTACAAAGCTCAACTTGTTACAAAAAACATTTTCAACAAAGAGATACCCTCAACTTCTCAATCAGCTGCTGCATCAAACTCGAACTGCCAACAGGACTCATGGTATTGCCCTGTATGCGATAACGATGAAAAGCTTGATATGCGCATGTGTGTGATAATGTGTCAAATATGGTATCATGAAATCTGTGTTGGCTTGGAGCTTAATGTCACAGACAGTTTTATTTGTTCAAAGTGCCATTAATCAGCATACTCATCGTGCAAAAATATTTGAGAGCTTTCAAGTTTATTTTTTTTTTATTTCAGTTATATTGAGATATCATTTTGCATTAAGATTTGATGGTTTTTATTATTGGGCCATAAAGTCATACCGGTTTTGGAATATGGCCCAAGAGATAGTTTTTTTGTTATGTATTTTTCATTTCTGATATTATAAGCACAAATATTTTGTTACAGAATGTTTCTCATTAGCGAAATTATAGTAATGTTGAAGATTTTTGTACGTTTATCCTTTTATTTTCTCAATAAACATTAAAAATATCAAGGCCGGCCATATATGCCTCCACTACCTTATATATAAATTTAATGAACTGATATTGTTGCAAGATGAATAAAGACGATTTATTATTTATTATTATTCTTATACCACTAACAAAAAAGTGGATAAAATTAGGCACACGATTTTAATTCATAAATCGTAATCCATTTTCGGTGCTGATAAGATTATACGATAACGTGCTCACGCGAGCGTAAAGCGGGCTCCTCCAACCCCCATCGACTATATCTTCCCACCCCGTCGGGGGTCAACCGCTGTCAATTCGGGTAATGGCGAGGGGTGAGGAGCGTCGAAGACGTTACATGGGGGTAAAATAAAAATAATTGTCACAGTAGGTGAGCACAAACAACCACGCGCCATGTGTTGTGACGCGTGCGGCGTATGCTCTTCTTCAACGGTCTTCATTCTACATGCATGAATTCGTGCAAGGGTTTTATTACTGATTTCCACAGGGTGAAATTCTAGTAGGTATACCTGATCACTCTGAAGAGAAAAAAAAAGAAGAAAGTCAACGTCATCCTTTTGAGTGCCATCAGCTCATGACTTACCAGCACATCAAAATTGTTTTAGAGATTGATAACAGTTAGGCGAAGAAGCCTAAGAGCTAATTTGATTGATAATTTCATTTAGTTGGTCCAAGAAGTAGTTCTCAAACATAAAGAACAATGTTCGTTCATATTGCCAAAGACACAAAGGTTGTGCCAGTGTCGTCATCTGCTGAGTTCTACAATTTCGAGCGACTTTTGTCTTTTGTGCTATGCACTTTTTACTTTTGTCTTTGCTCAAAACCATTCTGTTTTCAAGATATTGGGACTTACGACATGGAATAATATAACTACGGAAGCCAAAATGCTCTAAGTGGAATGAAATTTTGATAATGAAGTGAAAACTCCGAATCTTTTCACAAACGTTCAATAAAATGAACAACAACTGATGAGAGATGACGGAAGGAAGACAACTACCTACTTTCCTGGCTAATTGAAATGCAATTTTTCTCTGAAACGCTATTCTATCGGCAAATTCGAGTCTGATATAACATTGATGACCCCTGTTGTGAATATTCAACTGTACTTGAAATCGATATTGTTCTTTTTAATAGTTGATGCAGCAGATAATTTCGAATGAATTCAAATAAACATGAAAACGGTATTTGTGAATGTGAAGGAGCCATCTCGACCACCCAGCCCCAGTACATTATCACAGTACCTCCGCTGAAGCTATAGGTATAGGTATAGGTATCACTAATGTTCACAGCTCCCACACCTCTTCTCTAGTCTTTACCATACCATATCATTTAAGATATTGCTTGTTTTGAAAATAACGCCAACCGACCAACTGAATTCACATAATTGCCCACAAATTCAACCAAAGATCCATAACACCAATATTCAATCTGCAAGCGCTTAAATAGTAGTCTCCATCTCTTGAGTACGCATGATCGGAATTCGCGACTTGCGGACATGAGCATGAGTTTATCAATAATGAATCAAGGTATAAAAAATATCCAATTCTTCAGCAAGGAAATATGGTGCTCTCTGTGTCCATGAAGGTCATACCACTGACAGGTAGGTATACATACATTATAGGGGGTTTGTTGTTCGAAGATAATAACTCATTATGCTAGCAAGGCCTCCCATGAAATTCTGTTTTAAGAGGCATTGAAGTTAACTCGAGAGTAAACCATAACCAACTGAAAACAAATGCCGTTCTAGTTCAATCCAGATTATCCCCTATATAGCCCAAACACACTTCCTATATGCCCCAGAAAAAGAATACGCGTTACGACAGTGTTTCATAATCTGTGGGTTCGAGCGGTCGAAATGACTTTTTAAAAATGAGCTGAACTTCAGAACTTGAGTCAAAAAATTATGTTCTCGGGTTGAGGCTCATTCAGTAACTGATTTTATTTTCTATTAGAATTCATCATACAATATTCAAAGGCAAACTGCAAGTCTACAAATGACTAACAATATTGAGATAATTAATACAATGGAGTGGTTGCCTATAGTGCCACCATAACTCATATCAAGCTCGCTGCTATGGACACTACTATTCAGTACTTCCAGCAGATAGTTCTGTTGCTATACAGACAGAACTACACCTTTTTCAGTTGTAGGTATTTCAGAAAGCGTCAAATCAAATTCAGAAAGCGTCAATTGAATTTCAGAATAGTCAATTCGATTTCAGAAAGCGTCAATTGTATTTCAGAATAGTCAATTCGATTTCAGAAAGCGTCAATTAAATTTCAGAAAGCGTCAATTGAACATCAAATAATATTTTCTGAAATACAAAACATATCTCCATTTCCAGCTTCCATACAGTTTTCAATCCTGAAATTAATGATCTACTGAATATGAGACTGAAAAGATTGTAGGTATGAAGTTGGCAGAATAATTGCAGAATGATCAATTTGACTTCTGATAAAATGTATGTCTTGCTTACCTCAATATCAATTCTGCTTTTGACCCAACTATTTTCAATTCTATATACAATCTAACCAACGCTGAAGTTCTGAGACAGAATGGTTTTCGATTGATTCTGGTGGATACCTCAGAATTACACCCAGGACAGAGAGAAGTCATAGAAAACTAATATTTCACCAAAAAAAGCATCAATAAGTCTGAAAGTTGAATATATCTGTGAATATAATAACTATTGTGGTTTATTGTTCATTAAACACAACATTGTTACTATATAGTCGAGAGTAAATATTGTCATGAAATTGACTTACTCATTTCAAATTATCTGGAAATTCACGAAAAAAAACTGGATAATAATAGCTGGTAAGATTTTGTCCATTGATTTATATCAGAACGGACATTTTGGTGCCCGAATCGTTCTGAAATATGGTTTCCTAAGTAGTAGACATAATTGATACACTTGGACCCATTGAAGCATCTAGAGGCTCGAGCCGCACATGCACACATACCTCATAAGGAAGTTCACAACGAAATTTCGCATAACAAAATAAATGTTTCTTTATTATTATTTATAGAAAGAAATAATCCCATCAACCCTTAGGCTATTAGCGATATGAAATTACATGGAAATATTTCAATAATATAAGTAGATTGAATTTTGGTATTTGCCTATGTCGTTGAGGAATGCCAATAGTTGCTGTAAGTCACACTCTTCACCTAATATGTCTTTTAAATCTCTTGGAAGATGGTGGTTCAGTCTTCCAAGATAATGAAGAGGGCATTTAACTAATATATGTTTCACTATCAGATTAGTTTCATACACTTCACAAATTGGTTCGGGAGTACGAACGATGATGCTGGGCTCGTGCGTCGGGTAACTATAACTTGGTGATTTCTTTTCTTAGGAACACATTTTCTAGGACAGATGGATTTTTTTTTTTTTTTTTATCGATTGGAGCGCACGAAAGGGAATCCCTATAATGTTCAAAGAACATCGTGCGTTCCTAGGGAGGATAGGGACAGGAGGTAGGTATTGGATTTTTTTTTGAATTTCTGGAGATTATATGTTGTTGGGAATACTTCCACAGGCAATGAATTCCAGAGCCTAGCCGTTCTATGGATGAAGGAGTCTTGATAAAGTGCTGTTCGACATCTTTCGAGGTTGACAACGAAAGGATGTGCTGACTGGGCTTGTCTAGTTCGTCTGATTGGTATTGCTAGTGAAGGGATGATAGCAGAGATTTCCGAAGAACATTTCCCGTGGAAGTATCGATAGAAAAGTGAAAGGTCGCCGACCTTTCTACGGTGTTCCAATGATGTCAAAGAGTGAGTGAGTGTGGCGTCACCCACCAGGCGAATGGCTCTTCTCTGGATGGAATCTAAGAGCATCAGCGTATGTTTTGGTGCTGAACCCCATATGTGGGAACAGTATTCTAGAACAGGCCGTATCTGCGCTTTGTAGATCATGAGAAGCTGTTGAGGTGTAAAGTAGCTTTTCGCACGGAACAAGAATCCGAGTTTTTGTGAAGCAGCTTTTGCGATGGATCTGACATGATTATCCCATGAAAGAGTGTTGCTGATGGAAATACCGAGCATAGATATGGTGGGCTTGGTGGGGATGGTGGAGCCAGACATTACAATATCGGGCATACTGAGTTCCGCCTTTCTAGAGAAAATGCAGGCTTGAGTTTTGGTGGCGTTGAATTCAACTAGGTTGTTCGTTCCCCAGGCTGTGATTTCAGCAAGATCTTCATTGACAGCATTGACCTGCCTGCGCCGTGAGTTCTTAGTTTCCTGGGAAGAAATGGGAATTCTGGAAGAGAACGCAGTATGGAGGGTACTATCATCTGCAAAGCTGTGGATGGGGCAAGTTGTTACTCCCAACAGATCATTGATATGAAGCAGGAATAATGTTGGTGCCAAAATTGATCCTTGTGGAACACCGGAATTGATGCCAATGGTATCAGACGATACACCGTCCACCACCACATGAAGCGATCTGCCTGAAAGAAAACTCCATAAGAGATGGCATAGCTGAGGTGGTAAGCCGTATGATGGTAGTTTGTGGAGGAGTCCTTCGTGCCAAACACGGTCGAATGCTTTCGATATGTCCAACGCGACAGCTAGAG